AAGAAATCAGTCGGTAACCAATCCAAACCATCAAATACAAAAACAAGAAAAAAATAAAATAAAACCAAATACTTGCAAAACTCCAAAACTTATAGAAATAACAAAAAAATAACAAAGGAAAAAACAGACATCTATCATTTTTCCAGTGATCAAGACATGAATGATGACTCAGAGTGTCACAGTGAGATGAACGATGATGATGAAGATGAAGAAATTCTCAATAATATAAAGTTATCAAACCCCAAAAACACGAACAAATGTAAAAATGACTACTAATAAATAAAATTAACTAACAACAAAACCACAAATCAACTTTGCAGTAATAACAATTATGAAGTTTTTCCCTCTAAGCATATCGCAGATGAAAATGCTGATGACATCAAAATTTTTTAGTGGAACATAAGAGGGATGAAAAATAACCTTTCTGAACTACATATATTAATTCAGAAGTATAACCCTCATATATTTTGTTTGCAAGAGACAAAAACTATTGAAAACAGATAAATTCAAAAAATTACACAGCCTATCATAAAGCAGCTACACCAACAAAAACTAATCCATCAGCTGGAACATCCTTTTCTGTTCATTATAAATTGACTAAATCTCATTTCCATATAATAACAGAACATCACTTCATAGCCACTAGAATAACATCCAATAAAACAATAACGATATATAATGGATATATAAACCCAAATAAGTTAATAAAATCCAAAGATATAAACAAAATACTGCAGCAGATCCCCAAATCATTTCTTGTGTTGGGAGATTTCAATGGACACAATCAATTATGGAGATGTCCAAGTTATAATGCACAAAGTAAAGAATTAGAAAAAAAGTATAATTAAAAATGATTTGTCTCATTAAACCAACAAAACCAAAAATTTTCCATGAGCACTTAGTTACATCTTCTATGATTGACCTAGCTATCTCATCACTATCCCTGTACTTAGATATAAAATGGGAGTCAGAAGAGGATCTCCATGGCAGTGATCCCTTTTCAATAATAATAACAATTAGAAATAAAGATCATATAGTTAATAAAAAGCAAAAGTTAAATTATAACAAAACTGACTGGCACGAATTCAAAAAAGAACAAAAGAATTGATGAATGGTTTTGAAATAATTGATGATGAATCAATGGACAGGTGGATGGCAATAATAACAGGAACTATAAAACAAACTACCCCAGTAATGCAAAATAAAAAGGGAAAGACTATTAATCCTTGGTTTAACAAAATATGCAAAAACGCAATAAAACAAAAACAGAAGGCATTTAAAGCATTTAAAAGCAACCCTATTCAATTAAATCTTATAAATTACAAAAAAATTAAAAGCCAAGGCTCGCAGAACAGTAAGAGAAGAAAAGAAACGTTGTTGGAATTCTTTTATTAAAGGTTTCAATCGTTATACTCCAATTGACAAAGTATAGGAAATTGTCAGAAAAATAAAAAATAAAAATGATAACAGTCGTATTATCTACAATAACAAATTCTTCAGTTCTGATAGGGAAATCTCAAATATACTAGCCAGCAACTTCCATCAAAATTCCGAAATTCTGAACAAAAAGCCTTCCTCAAAAATCACTATCAATACTTCTTAGAGTTTACAATTACATATGGATTAACACAAAAGTCCCAGATACTTGGCGTCCAGATAATTACATATGGATTAACACAAAAGTCCCAGATACTTGGCGTCAGGCAGTAGTCGTGCCCATAAAGAAACCAAAAAAAAAGTCAAAACTCATCCAAATAACTACAGACCAATTTTATAAACTTGTTATACCTAAGATCATAGAGAAAATAGTTAGTAATAGACTAAATTGGTTTCTCGAAAAACATCAAATTTTGTTTGAATATCAATGTGGAGATATCAAGGGAAGATCTACGTTAGATCATTTGATATCACTGGAAACTCACATAAGACAAGCTTTAACACAAGGTGAACAAGTAATAACTGTGTTTTTGGACATTGAAAGGGCCTATGACACAGCTTGGAAATATGGTATCCTAAAAAAAATACATGAATCCGGATTAAGAGGACGTCTTTCCAAATTCATTCAAAATTTTTTATCAAACCGGTCATTTAAAGTCAAGGTCAATGATGTCCTTTCAGAAACGATGCATCCAGAGTTGGGCATCCCTCAAGGCAGCATTTTGTCACCAAAGTTATTCTGTCTTAGCTTAGATAACATCATCAAAATAATTTCTAAAAACACAATGATCTGTCTTTACATGGATGATGTTACAATCACTTTTAAAAATAAAGACATGATAAAAATGCAAAATGAAATAAACAGAACGCTAAAATCCATTGAAAATTGGGCATAGGAAAATGGAATAAAATTTTCTGAATCAAAGTCCAGAGCTATGCTTTTCTCAAGAAAACAAAAGAGGATTTTTCCGAAGTTAAATTTTCAAAAAAATAATCTTGAGTTCTCACAAGAATACAAATATTTGGGAATAATATTTGATTCAAAATTAAATTTCATTTTCCATATTTTGGAAACCAAAAAATGCCTAAAAGCAATCAATTTTATCAAAGTGTTATCCAAAAATAAATCGGGAGCAGACCAAAAGCATCTGATAACAAATTTCCAAGCAACTATACGAGCAGTAGTATTGGATTATGGTTCTCCAGTATATGGCTCTACACAAAAATCCTACATGAAGATTCTACACCCAATAGTCAACGAATCGTTAAGAAGGTTTCTAGGAACATACAGAACATCACCATCCATAAGTCTCCATGTTTTGGCAGGAGAAATGCCACTAAATTTAAGACATCAAAAATTAGCCTTAAATTACTTTTTAAAAATTAAATCTCAGATGAAAAACCCGGCATATAAATACAAAACAGCAAAAACTAAGGCACCAAAATCAATTCCGACATTTCCAATAAGACTAAATGAATTCATCAAAGACATTAAAAATATAAAGACCATGGAAGAATTAAAGTTTGAATTTCCTCCTTGGTTACTAAAGCACCCAGAAATAGATACGACAATAACAGGAAGGGGCCAAGATGTAAAACTAACAAAGACCTTAGTTGAAGAAAAAATTAATAACAATTTAAACTTTATTCAAATATATACAGATGGATCAAAAAGAGAAAATTCAACGTTTGCAGCAATTGTGGCCTACTGGCAAAGGAAACGTATTCATGGATTAATGATGCACCTACCAGGACCTGCTTTAACATCGCAGAGATCCTTGCTATAGACATGGTTATAAACTTCATAATTAATTCTGAGAAAAATAAATTCATAATATTTTTGGATTCCTTGTCTACTCTATCAGCCCTGAAGCAATACAAGCCTCTAAATCCATTAATAAATCAAATGCAAAATAAGATTCATAATATCCTGGATAGCAACAAAAAATTAATTATAATGTGGATCCCTAGTCATATAGATCAGATGGCTTCTCAAGCTCATTCGATGCCATTATCTAGAGTTCCAATTCCGTTCAGTGATTTAAAGAATTTAACAAACAACCTTATTATTTAAAAATGGCAGCAGGAGTGGAATAAAACATCAAATTTCTTAAAATTAAGTTTGCCATCAGTAAATAACAAAAAGCTCAAAAATAGTTATTTAAATTGTCATCTTAAGTCTGTTATCAATAGATTAAAAATAGGACACTTAACAATCACACATTTCTGGATCCTCAACAAAACAAAGCCCCTTTAATTGTGAAGCCTGTGACAAAAAACTATCTATTCAGCATACATTAACTGAATGTGAAAAATACGATCAGATCAGAAGGAAACTCGGGGTTCCATCAAATGTAGAATTGCTCTTCCAGAATAGAAGCCAGAAAGTCTTGATTTCATTTATAGAGGAGATAGATTTGATCAACGGAATTTGAAGTTTTCTAGATGTCACAACAAACTAATCAGTTTCTAATGATCCAAGGGCGTTAAAATAGCTGCATCGTGCTGAAACGCCGTTAAGCTGCAAAAAAAAGTATGTACGTGCTAGTTTGTACGTGCCTCGTAAGTCTTCTTAACAGCTTGGTCGTCGTCTTGCCAATATATTCAAAATTATTGTGCCCACACTCACCAATATTACTTTTGAACAAATATATTAGATGGCTATGATCCTTTGTCAATTCTGGCTTACTAATGCAGGTGTTTTTCATAACGAGAGAGGACGTTTTTTAGTTGGAGTAATATATTCGTAGTTTAATACTATCGTTTTTGTTTGTTGCTTGAACGTTATTTTTTATGATTCTTTCCATGATTTTTTTTCATCCTATTTGGAAGCTTTCGACATGTGGTTCTTACAATATATTATTTTGGTTTTTTTTTGTTATTGTTAGTTGCATCGTTGTTTTTGTTATTGCTGATTTTTGTTATATTCATAATCTCTCATTATCAGAACATCTTTAAAAAACCTATTGCCAACGTAATACCAAGCATCCACAAAATTATCTGGTCTATTGATATTTATCATAATCAAGACAAATAACTGCCCATACTTGCCCAATTTTGCTCCTGTTTAAACAGCATAATTGGCTTCATAAGAATTGACAGATGAATTGATACAGACACACTCTGCCGCCACTACGTCCATTGTTTTTATCTTTTCTATATACATTAAAGTTGTTTATATTAACAATTGAGCTATCTTTAAACCATGTTTCACTTACACCAATATCCGATGGATTTTACGTCTCAACAACAACTATCGATTCATTCAGTTTATTATCTAAAGAAGTAGCATTTAAATACATACAGTGTAGGGTGTTGTGTTTTTTTTAGAAAATGAACTGCTCTATCATAAGTTGAATTTAAATTAATGAAGTTTTCTGAATCTCTGCACCTGATTTCCACGGATGCCATATCGAAAGGGCGAGTCTGCACCGAGTTCTGCATTCAATCTGTTTCGTTTCTATCTCAATTTATAATTCAGTTGTCTTTCAGCTTCTGTCAAATCTGGACTAATTTAAACAGATTTGAATTTGTCAAATTTTCTCAATTTTTTAGCTGTCAAGATGACGGGATTCCTGGTGGCAGCATCAGACAAATCAACCAATAATGGCACAAGTTTTGTTAGGTCCTTTGATCTCAATCTTCTTGGGTATGCAACTGAAACGTCAGATTTATCTTTAACCTTGAAAATCTTTCTAATATTGGTTTTGTCATGGGCTTTTTTATTTGTCAGATTTGAAGCAGATGATTCTGGCACTCTGTAGATAACAACATTTTTCTTTTTTTTCTCTCATGCATCTCACCATTAGGGGTGTTGGCCACTACTAACTGATCTACAGGCTTTTTTTTACATATTTTGCACCTCTGGTGACCACATCAACCCATTCAGTACTTACACAAGGTTTTGCTACCTTTTTTGCCGATTCGAGGTCCGTCTTCAATCTTTCGATTTCTAATAAATTCTTCACATCTCTTGCCTCCAACTGTTTCACTCAGTCAGTTAGCGAAGAAAGCAGTTGCGACATCTTTCCGCACCATAGTTGACCGGCTGTATTGCCCATCTTCGACCAGTTCGATTTTCTCAAAAAGAGAACAAAATTTAAAGAAAAATTTAATCCGAGCAAAGCCACGTGAAAATTCAGCTGATCAAAACCACGTGTCAAAACTTAAAAATAACTAAATAATCAACAAATTATCAATAATTCAGATATTTTATCAATAATTCAGATATCTCTTTTTTTCAAAATTGCATGTGCAGAGGTAGCCAAGATACGACACACCAATCTTCTTCACAGAGATGTTTTAGTCATACAGATAATCGAATGATATTCACACTAGCCTTTTTCGTAATAATAATTACAGTATTAGTGTCATTAATTTGGCACCCTATGCTGTGCTGTTGGCGAAAGTTCTAGATTCCTGCTATCACTAAAAATATCTCGGATGTTTCGTTTAACGTTCATTGAGCAGTTGTTGATGAATGTATAACATTATTATTGGTAGACTACATGTGATTTGCTATGTGGATTATTTTATTTTTATTTTTTTTATTAATAGTTGTGTAGTTTGAGCGTTTATGTAATTGATGAATAATTTTATTTTTTGATTTTTAATAGTACCGAAACGTAAAATAAAACATATTAAAAATTGCTTTTTATTATCACAACTAAATTTTAAATACAAAAAATTTAGTTAAGAAGGTGGAAAATTTGTTTTAAAAACAAGCAATGTGAAAACAGTGATCGATATCAACAACTGTATATTATTTAATATAAGTGTTATATATTAAATAATATATAATTTCATATTTTTGGATCAACCGGTTTTTATGCTATTCAATTTATTTCAAATTAAGAAATATTTTTCGACAATTGGTGAAAATAAAAATATTTTAAAATAATATATGTTTACATTTTTGAGAACTATAATCCGTTCAACCTCATTAATTCAAAACATTCTAACATCATAATTTTGGCGACAGGATGGTGTAATGATTAAAGCGCCTGACCTGTTGTTGCAGCGACTAGGTTCGAATGCAAGAGACCTCCGCATAGCCCATTCACTATGTGTTATGCGTGGATTCACGCGTATTTTCATGCGCTGTGTGTGTATTGTTGGTCCTCTGAGAAATAATTAAGAGAGAATTATTACTACTAATACTACTATACTACTACTGCTACTACTACTACTACTAATAATAATAATAATATAAAATCCTCACTATTTAGAGACTTGCAAACAACTGTTTCAGTAGTTGACCACGGGCCTATATTTATAGAATTGTTAGCCGCTACTCGAAATTTATAAGAGCTACCTTCATGTAACTTGAAAACTTTAAAAGAATTCTGCGTTGAATCTACAAATGCAAGACTAACAAATAGACCTGCATTGGTACTTTTCTCAATATGATAGCCAGTTATTGGTTCGTGGCCATCAGAGAGTGGAGGACACCAGCTGATTAGACAGAAATCATTGCACATTTCTGTAACTTTTAAACCAATAGGAGCCAATGGAGGTGCTTTGGAAAAAATAAATTTTTTGAACAACCTTTGATTTAAAAATTTATGATAATAATTTTGATAGATTGTAATTATCCAAAAACAGAGCAGCAAATAACAAATTGAAGGGTAAAAATAATTATGAAATAAAAACAGAGTGAAGATATTCATTTACATTTAACCACAACTTGAAACTCCGCTGTATCTTGCCCCGCAATATTTTCTGCGTGGACCTTATAAAGACCAGCATCTTCTTCTTGTAGACATCTTACTTTTAAATAATTCCAATTCCCAGCATTCTCCATTGCTATTCTTGAATTTGTTAATAATTTTTTTACGCCGCAAAACCAAGATACTGTTGATTTTGGACAACCACTGATATTGACTTCGAGAGATAAGGTTCCCCCTATTCGGACAGATTGCACTTTGTTGAATGAGTTTTCATATGTTATTCTTGGAGCTTGAAATTTTATTTTTGTTCTTTAATTAATTAAAAATTTCAATCGAAGTTATCAAATATTTAAATGACAAGCAACGATATATTCATAAATTTTGGTCTATATAAAAAAATACAAGTTTAATGGGATAACTATATTAAATTCTTGAAGCTTGAAATAGTCTAAAGTCTGTTTGAAACCATTATCAAAAAATACTCATTACTTTTTAAATTTTTCAGTCTGAAAATAGAAAACAAGAGCAGAGAGTATTTTTTTTTATATTTGAAGTTAAAATGTCAAGATTTAAACAAGACTTACCAAAACATTCTTGAAAAATCTAATAATTTTTTATATTACACAACAGAAAATTGAACAAATACTAGTAATATGTTTATCAAGTATTAGAGGATTTTACCTATTATGCATTTTTTAATGTTTTATAGTGATTTTTTATTTTTTGTATTTAAGGCTTTTTCACCTTAACTTCATTTTCCCAACACTAGTATGAAATTTTTTGACTGCTAATTAATCATTTAAAAAAATATTCGTGATTGAATCAATAATTTTAAAAATAAACATTTTTTCAACTTCATTTTCTATGACAGCAACTTAAATTTTATTACATTTTTTGGGCTCGTTGTATCTATAAAAATTACCAACATTAAAACAAAATACTAGCAGAATTTAATTTATATTTCATCATTTGTAAATAAAAATGAATGCAACAGATAGATAAAATCAAAACCATAAAAATATATTTTAGAAAAATATACTGTTTTTTCAAAAGTTAAATTGATTATTATTGTTAAATGCTGATTCTAATGAAAAAAGAATAACATTATCATATGAAGGCTTTTACAATCAAAATCTTCAATAATGTTATTTGTAACGTAGCGAATTTCAAATCCCTCTTCCCTACCTCTCTCTCGTAAATTTTCGTAAGAAAATTTTAGAAAATTTTAGATCCCTTAAAAACTTTACGTAGGAGAGTAGGTGGTATTATGAAACGGGGTTGTAATATGAAACCGCAATTTTTTCCATGAAGATTTGTTATGACCTATCTATAATTGTTTTAATTATAATATAAAGATTAAATAGTCTTTGGTCATTTCTGAAAAAAGTGAGAATGAAGATGAAACTTCAAAAGATGAAGAAGATACCGGAAGTCTTATCTCATCCGGGAGCTCCAACACATTAGATCATATTGGATCGGAAGTTCCAGAAGATAATGATGCAGACTGCTTATTTTGTGGTGAGACATTCAAAACATCAAAATCTGGAGAACTTTGGGTGCAATGAGTGATATGTCTAAAATGGGCTCATACGTTATGTAGTGGATGTGAAAAAGATATTTTCATCTGTGACTTTTGTTTGTAAAAATTCATGCAAAAATGTGTTTTATTACTTATAATTTTTATTTCATTGATAAGAACAATTTGTTATGTTTAAAAGTATAAAACTATAATCATATGTAAGAATAAAAGAGATTGTTCTGAAAATAAAACATTTTTTTGTTCATTTTACCACCCCAACTTCAAAAAACCATTTTTCGAGGTATGCTAACAAAAAATGTTTATCAAGGAGAAGTTTTTTATTCTTTACCAAAATTAGTTATAAAATATTATAAAATACATATTTGTCAGTTGTTTGGTAGACTAAGGGTCTAATAACTATTGTCTGAATATTTTTTTTGGCCCAAGACAAAAAAAAGGTCCATATTACCACCTTATCCCCTAATACTTGAACAAATCTCCAAGATCATTTTATTCAAAGATAATGTAAACTAATAATATGAAAAATAAAACTAACGATCTAATTTTTCTTCAATAAATTCCTTTTCATTTTCTTCTACCCTAGTAATAATTTCTTCAATGATCGTTTGCTTTTCGAATTTTTGCATTTCCACCTGGGAATATTCCGCTTCTGAAATTCTTTCAACCATTAAAGATGAGAAATCTGCATCTTTTCTATTCAATTTGTCCACTAATAAAATTAATAGTGATACGGTAACAGCATCAAGAAATATTTTGAAAAAATAAATTAGCTGAACAGTTTCACTTTTATTCATTTTGCTCAAGTCAATCAAAATATTTATTTAAGTTGCTGCTATTGCAATATAAAGCTAGGATAATTAATCTATTGCATTGAAATTTTAATTAGAGTAAAGCCGATGTACCGGTAAATACTGATGCATTGGTAAATTCTGATAAATCGATAATTTAACGATATTGGATCGGATTAGTTTTTTCCAACAATGATAACGTTTGACATCATTAAAATTCATGTCTTGTAAGATAGATGTTGACAATGAAGTTATTCAAATCCATTTGTGAACAACCAGGTGGAACCAACAGTTGTCTTAGCAGCACATAATTACTAGACCATGAATAGTAATAAAAGTTATATCACTAGCCCCTCTTTCTTTTTTAAGTTTATTCTCAAATTTCAACGCTGAAGTTCTTATTTTGTTAGATCAAATTGATTTTCTGTTGTCCAAATACGTCATAACAAAGAAACAATTAGAGTTTCAAAAAGGAAACCATTATCTAACAACATTCAAGTTCTACGCTTCGGGTAGCGTTTCACAAAATTTTAAAACAAAACTTATGGACCGCAAAATTTTGAAAACAATATAAACTTCACCTTTATAAAGAAGGAAACCATACTTACTCTGTATCTGGTCAGCATCTTATAACGCCACTTATATTGTACTTTTCTCACTTAACTCCGTAACACGACGTTCAAACTCCTTCTTTAAAACAGGGCTAATTTTTATGTTAGTAATATGTAAAATGCTGTAAACGAACATATGAATGTAAGCTATTATCTTTTGTACCCATAAGTGGCATATGGTGCTATAGGTAAAAATGTGTTTATTCTGAATATTTCATAGCTAAAAATTAACTAATTTGAAAAATTACTAAAATCAAATTTCAAAATTAAGATTTTTTCGAAAAAGTAAATTTTCTGAAAACTTTAAAATATTTTGACTAGTCTATATTTGAATGAACAAAATGCTCAAAAACAAATAAAGCAAATGAAAATATTGCATCTGAAAAAATTGCTAAACATTAAAAAACTCAGCTGCAAATTAAACGCCTGCAATGCAATTTATAAACTGCTACGAAATGTCAAAAAGTATTATTACGGACTTAGATGCACATACTTGTTTTTAATAAAAACAATCATTCTTACGGGTTTATCAATGTTCACTGAAAACAATAAATTTACTTTTGACTGCCAAATATGTCATCGTAGAGGCAAGGCCTTCACTATTTTCAGCTCTGCATTGATACAACCCTTCGTCGGCTAGTGTTAAATTTTTTATTGATAATGTCACCACACCTCTGTTAACATCAAAGTCAACTTCGTATCTTGAATCATTTGCAATCTCCATGTCATCTTTGTACCATTTGATAGTTGGAATAGGATATCCAATCACTTTGCACTCAAAATTTTGCGTGTCCCCTAACGAAGCTCCAACGTGATCTATCATTTCTATGATATTTTTCCGATTGTTTCGTTATTCTATCTTCACCACTTTTGCCAACTATTCATCATCTAAAATGTAAATATTTAACCCAGTAAATATTTTTTTTAAATACTAAAAAAAATTGATAGATTTTTTATAACACAAAAATTAGTTTTAAATTATATTGAGATTTTAGTGTATTTTTTATAGTGGAGCTTTGATCTGATCATGTCCAAACATAATTTTAATTAGAAAACATTGCCTGCCGTTATATGCCTTATTAATATGCCAAATTATTGCATTTTTATTTTGTATTTTATCAGTATGAAAATTGTTGAAAAATATAAGTTGCCATTTTTAGTAGCCACTTTTTTCATAACGTATGTAGAAGTTTTTTATTGTCTGAATTATTTTATTTATTATTTACAGTGTTTGAATGGCTTTACAATTAATTGACAAATTAATTGTAAAGCCATTAATTAATAATTAAAAAATTAACAATAAAACTGATTTGTATGAATCCCACAAACGTCAGTAAAATACAAAAAAAATATATTGCATTGTTAGCTATTATATTGTTACGACTCACAGAGTTCTATAAAATGGGTTTGAGCCTCTATAAGGCCTCTGAACAAAAAAGCAAAAAATAACCAAATTATCATATTACAATTAGAGTGACCATGTTAAAGTTATATGCAAAATTTTAAGATTAAAATAAGACGTTATCCGAAAAGATGGTTAAAATAACAAATAAAAAAGAATATAGTGTCAAACCCTCACTGTAAAATGCTGTAAAAAAACGTATAATACCTGGACTCTACATATGAACAATTGTGAAAACTTTCATGCAAATAAATTCCAAATTTTTTTCATATCTTTATTTTTGTAACGTTTCCTACAGCTTTATAAAATTAATTTAAATTTTGATTTTTTTTATTGGACATGAAAAAGTTGAAAGTGTTAACAGTTTATTGCAATCATTAAAAAATATATGTAACTTTAATCCACAAAAGTTATTAAAGACTTTTTTGATAGCTCTTTGGAAATAAACTATTGTTGTTGACGCATGTGGCGCTATCTTCTGAGAACACTGCATTGATCATCGAATTTTGCACAAAAAATTTGATATCCGAATATCAACGCAGTACCTTCAAAAGATAGCACCAACGTACGTAAATGATTAATTTGCGCCTAAAAATAAAAAGCGAATTAACTTGATTTTGCTTACGAAGACTTACCCTAACCCTGTCATTAAGTATTTTAGCATTATAATGAAACTTTTATAGCTTTCTATTTGTAAAATTTTTAATTAAAATATAATTTTAAACATTACAAATTATACAAAACCTTACATATTCGATTATTACATTTAATATTAAAATTAAATACACAAAACGATTGTTTGAATAGAATTACGAGCCAGCCTCCATTGCAGGTAATCAGATATTACAAACGTAGCACGCTCGGGAGATAAAGCCTATTAAAATATAATTTGTATTTTTTATTCATAGTTATTAAAAAATATCAAAAAATTACTTCTGATTATATATAGGGTAAAAATTGTATACCCATGCGGTACTGATTAAGACGTCCTAGATCAATAATATTCATGACGCCCAAACGACATTTTTCAATTGGCAATATTTTTTTATACTTTCATAAATAAAAATTTTAATTTACATACTGGAGTTTATAAGCAAACCGAACAATAATGATAAGAGGAATGGTACATTTAATTCGTTGTATTATTTTTTTATATAATATCAAGAGATGGACATCCAAAGATAGATGCCAACAGCAAACGTCACTGGTATGCTACTAATACAAACAATGTGTAAAGTCGAAAACCTGGTAAAATTGATTGATAAAAAATACATTTTAAAATACACGCCAAAACGTAAAAAAAATGTTATCGCATTTTAATTTTAAAAATAGGGAATGTGAGCCGATTGAATTTTTCTAGCTAAAGATAATTTTTTTTCTAATTTATCCCATATATTTTAATTAATATATATGAATAACACCGTAAAAAAAACACTGAATAATAAATTTTCTGATCATTGTTCAAAATGGAAATAGTTTTTTAAAAGTCATAAAAGAAAATAAAGTTTTTCCCCTTAGGTCTCCAAACGAAGCAAAACCCATGCCATTTATACATTAATTTTATTTAAAACCATTTGTATGGCGGTGTCTTGCTTACTCGTAATACTCATAACTCATAATACAGCGAACTATCAAATGGCTGTCGTTCAGTCGGTCGGCTCAAGAAGCGATTCGTAGATCAAATGAAAAGCGTACATCAGAAATGTAACATAAACTCGGCTGGACTTGAAGAAATAGCAAAAGATTGGTCTACATGAAAGATGATTTGTAAAGCTGGTCTCACAAGTTTTATGTTGAAATAGACAAATGCCTCTTACAAGCGTCGACTTATACGTGATGCAGCAACATCAAAAAATTAAAACCAACTGGTCCTCTATGTGGTAAGCTATGCGCATCAGATTTTGGATTAAGAAGTCATCTACAATCTAACAGAAGACCTGTGGACAATACAACAAAAGCAAACAACAATCTTTATATGGGGAAATACAATTAAATTTTATCCAACACCTTTATACTATGACCAAAAAGGTTTTTATAATTTTGTATTGATGAAAACGAATGATATTTTTAACAAGCAGCAGATTTCATCAATATTCGAAATAAATTACTACAAAACTTGCTGTTTCATTTTTAAATGACAACTCCAGCTTTAAGATATTAGCGATGACATAATGGTCAAGTCTCTCCGTCCAGCAGACAAAACTTCCAGTACCAGGGCATCAGTGAACACACGTTTACATAGAAATTGGCAAAAAATAACATGATGAGCAAAAATATTTTCTATCACTGAGTCAACAAATGGAATAAATTGCCAGATTACATAAAACGTTGTTTGATATTTAAACCATTTAAATATAAACTTATGACTTTTCTTTTGTGTTTGTTTTAAAAAATAGTTCGTTTTTCAATATCCTGCATATTTTGCTTTTATATATTTTTTATATATCTTGTTTTGTTTTAATTAATCCTGCATTACTAACCTTGCTTTTTTATTTTTGAATGTTTTTACATAGGTTTTATTGAATATTAATATTTTTATTGGTTTTATACATGTTTTATTGCCTTTTTTACATGTGGCTTTTGTTGTTTTTACAAATGCTTATAACCTTAATTTCTATCCTTGGACTCGATGGCTTGTTACGTAGAGTACACATACTAATCAAGTGTTGCACATTTATGTGTGTCCTTTTCATGTTACTCATTACAAATTTACATGAATAAATAAATAAAGAACTTAAATTACTGCATATATATATATATATATTTAAATTTATACATATAATATATATTTATACTGTATACATATATAATATGCATACAGTATAAATATATATTATATATAATATATATAATATGTATACAGTATAAATATATATGTTTATACTGTATACATATAATATATATTTACAATATTCTATAAATTCTACGTTCGGTAGAATTTATAGAATATTGTAAAAATTATGGTTTATTACCAACATATAATATATATATATGTATAATATATATATATAATATATATATTTGGGTGCATTTTTTATTTATACTCCGGCTATATGATTTTCATATTCCATTTGATGAATTAAGACTTGGGCTAAAAAATTAGAATTTTTGGTTAATATTTAAGGGATCCACATTCAACGTGAAAATTTATAGACTTTGTATTGTAACGAATTCAATGTAAATATTTACCAGTTATATTGTCAATCACTTTTGAAAATGTAAACAGCATATAAGAAGTAAGTTTGTGTCATTTATAGTAGAAAAAACATCAGGACAGTTTCACAGTATACTCACACATTTTAATCATTGTTATTATCGACTTTCGTTAATGATCGCTTTCTCTTTTTTCATTCCTGTGGCTCTCAACAACTTGGAGGATGTTCTGGTAATTAAGAACTGTATATTTCAAATATGTTATATTAATAAAAGCAGTATTTTAAGCTGACTCATATGCGGCATTGTGCATGATATTTTTGCGTCATTTTTTCATAACTTTGAGGTCCTTGTAGACCCATTAGGAATAAAAATATTTCGAAAATATTTTACACAGTAACTACTTTCTCCAAAAGTCATATGCTAAGTTACCAGCCGTGACAAATTTTTTCCATGAGGGCGTTTGATGCACCCTAATATATATACATATATAATGTATATATAAAGTTATATATACAGATGAAATCTTGTTTGCTTGACTGTCTACCAACAAAACTGTTTCAAAAGTACTGTTTCAAAAATACGTTGATCGGTTTCTTCCGTTTCTGACATTTTTCATCAACTTAGGTCTAGCATCTGGTTATTTTCCGAGGTCGTTAAAATTTGCAATTGTACCCTGTTATTGAAAAAACAGACTCTAAACAAAAATACATTAGCAAATTATAGATCGGTATAAAATCTGCCATTTTTATCAAAAGTTATTGAGCGAATCGTTCAAAAACAGCTTCTGCATTATTTCAATCAACACAACTTTCTGCCAAAATATCAATCGGGTTTCAAAAGACTTCATTCAACTGAGTCTGCATTGATTGATGTTGCATCAGAGTTGTTTGCAACTATGGATGGTCAAAATATGCTCTTGCTCTACTCGACGTGAATGCAGCATTTGATTGCGTTAATCATGCGATTTTAATAAAGAAACTTGAAAATTCTTTTGGAGTTTCAAGAGTTGCACTGAAATGGTTAGAATCATATTTTTTAGGACGTAAACAATAGGTTTTATTCAACAATAAAGCATCAAATAATTATGAACTCAACCATGGTGTACCTCAGGGTTCTGTTTTGGGACCACTTTTGTTTCTACTTTACACGTCAAATGTGCTCGATTTGATAGAGTCATTCAATTTAAAGTATCACACACTTACTGATGATATTTAGATTGTGGTAAGTGGATCGGCTGC